ATTTATCGAGTCTTAACCAGCCGAGAAAAATTGATCCCAGAACATCGATTTCCTGCCGCCGAACTCTCCGGTAAGTGAAGACGTACCCTATGACTTGTCAAAAGCAATGGTCAGGGGTTCAAGTATGTACGTTAGCAAATTCCCTTACAGACCTGGAATGTATGTTATCCAGACTTGCTGATTTGTATATACTCAAATTGTTCAAGTATTCCCATATGTGCTTTTTATCAAGAATTAGAAACTAGTAAAATATCTTTGCTTTATCAAACTTTGGAAAACTAATGTGCAAATTGCTTGAAGTTTTCTGACTGTTTTTCTTTCCAGAACACCTTTGAATTCCAGGATTTGCATGGAACACATTTTTATAGGAGTTTTTAATATTGAAAATAATTGGAAACAGAACCCAAAATATGGGTTGCAAACTGAGATTACACAATAGGACAAATAATAGCAGCAGAGTTAATTTTTAAAAAGGCAAGTGATTTTAAGTCTTACTTTCTTTGGTGTTATAAAATAAGAATTTTCTTAAATCTTTAGTTTTTATCTTAGGGCTTGTCTACTCTTACCAAAGGATCAATGCTGCGGTGATGGATGCATCGGCGGTCTATTTAGCGGGTAGTGAAGACCCACTAAATCGTCCGCCAATCTCTCTCCCGTCGACTCCTGCACTCCACCTGATCGAGAAGACTAAGGCTCTCCTGTCGACATCGCATAGTGTGGATCCCTCGGTAAGTAGATCTAACCTACGTCAATTTGAGTTGCACTATTCACGTAACTCAAATTGCATAGCTTAGATCGACTTTTCCCTTTAGTGTAGACAAGGCCTAAAAGTCAATGTATTATTACATCCACAATACCTATCCTAGAAATAAATAAAAAGCATTTATTGTATACAGTACACCCTTGCTATAACAAAAGACCCACTGTGGGGGGGAAGTGGAGGGAATAGCTCCTCCAGCCTGTCGCAGTGGTGGGGCTCAAGGTGGGATCCAGGGACTGGGTTCATTGTATCTGAAGGTTTGTTATTATGAAGGGCATTATAGCAAGGGTGTACTGTAGTAGTAGTAGTAGTAGTAGTAAATTAATTGGAAAGTTATTTCAAGATATTGTACTATTATTGGCACTACGGATTTTAAATTAAGAGATAAACCAGGAATATACTAGGCTTATATACATTGATAACTTTACTCCTGGTTTTAAATGGGTTAAATTTGAAGTGCAGATTAATAATAAATAGCTATACTGCAAATCATTACTCCCAACTTACCTGGAGCTAGTCCAGCAGTAGCAGGACTTCCCATGGAAGGGTGAGAGAACAAGGCTTGAGAGAAGGCAGACATACTTGACTGAGAAACATTATTCAGCCTGGAAGTTGATCCTCCTTTCGGAATAAACTCACTTGCAGTAGGATTCGGGGTCTGTTTAAAAATCAAATACAGTAAGTTAATGTTTATTTCAAGTGTGAAGATATAGACAATGCCTATTAAGCTCAAAAAACTTTCTAGGCAAGTATATCAGAGGGTATGGGATATTTTAAAGATCTGCATACAGCTTGTCTGAATAGATATATATAGAAAACTACATTGCATAAACAGATTTTAAAGTTACCTTCTACCTTACATCTTAAGTAGCATTATTGCGCTAGCCTTATGAACATCTGAGTTATACATTTATATAACACCTTTGCAAAAGATTTGTCAAAATCTCTTCTATTTTAGTATTATGGACCTTTCGAGAACTGAGACTTTGACACACCACTGCACAGATTGGCACTACTCTGAAGTATTTTAGGGAACTAGACTGCTGAAAGTACCTCAGAACTGAGAAACAGTTTCAAATTTAAGTTGTAAAAACCACTTCTACTAAAGAAAGGTCATTTCTGTCTCTGTTTCAAACAGGTTTGTATGTTCCTTTTTTTGGGAAGTACAGCTTCCTTCTGTTTTAGGCCATTTCTACACTACCACTTATGTTGGCAAAACTTATATCGCTCAGAGATGTGAAAAAACACTGCTGAGCAGCATAAGTTTTGCTGACATAAGTGGTAGTGTGCACAGCGCTATGGCAGCGGGAGAGCTTTTCCCACCAACATAGCTACCACCTCTCATTGGGGGTGGTTTAATTATGTCAACAAGAAAGCTCTCTCCGGTCGGTACAGAGCAGCTACACAAGAGATCTTACAGCAGCAGCTGTAAGGTCTCCAGTGTAGACATAGCCTAAGTTATTTACTCCATTGACATAGCACCTTTAACAAACTGCTAGTTGCTACACCACAGACAATATGATTAGACAGGTAACAGTTGAACACCTTAAAATAAGTAAGGCATGTGAACACTTCGTCTGTAAAACAATTAAAATTACTGGTTTTGAACTTGCATTTTAAAAAAGTATGTTTTTCATAGGAGAAGAAATATAAACTGTTTCTAGATGGGCATAAAGTACACTACAGGATATCCATCTAAAATAAACTTAAGTGGACAGAAAACATGTGAAGTTGAGAGTAGGAAATAAAAATTAAAATGTGGAGGTGTATAACCTGAAGATCATTAAGTGTTAGTTGGCAAATTTAAGTATACATTCTCAGATTCAAAGGGAACTGCTACAATTGCCTGAATAAAGGAGGTAAAAAAGAGTGAAAATCAGAAAGAATAAGTTAGCAGCAGGCTGTTGACAAGATAATGGTTGACAAAAAACAAAAACAAAAACCCACACCCTCACAGCAATTAAAAGAGGTATAGACACTACTTTAGGTAGTTGAAATAAAAAATTACGAGTTTTAAAATTTAGATTAGTTAAGTTACTAAGTTGTCCACTTTTCCACAAAAGTGAAAAAAAAAAGTCAAAGAAATTAAGTTCTTCATTTCACACACATTAGAGGAAAGACGTGACAACAAAGATTGACTCTGAAGAAAATTTGAAAACATTGTTTCAAATACTTTTGGTATTAAAAATAAATTAAAAAAGAAATGCGCCTCCAATTAGACACTTCAGCCAAACACTATGGAATATAATATTTGAAACTTCTAGAAAGGAAGTTAAATCTGGAAATTGCAATAAGGTAGATGATGCTCAAAAATTTAAAATCATTCCTACATTCCAGCCCTATGATGAAGATAAATTCTTACCAAAAAAATAATCTGATTGTTTTAGGTAGGAGTCAATTGTGCATGTGTGTGAATATTAAATTTGAAACCCAGTCAATAGAGAACTGTCCTATTTTAGTTACAGCCAAAAGTGCAGACAGGAGAATTAAAATACCTGGACTCATAAGGGTATAAAGGTGTTCATCTACGATGCTAAAGGAGTTGCAAAGTCTGGGTAAGGAAAAAAATCAAAATCTAAACCAAGACAGGAAAATAAAATGAAAGTTAATTATAACTTGTAATTTTAAATGCATTTAAAAACACAAAGGGAAAGTTCTAGACAGACACCTGAACATTTTAAGTAGAGGAATAACTGTAGAATGAAATATGCTCTTGAACAGCCTGAAGTAAGATCAGGCAAACATGCGTGTGGTCAGTTAGTGAGAAAGTGAAGAGAGGATGCACTGAGGGGGAAAAATAGTTTTCAAATACAATACTACTACTGTAAATTCATCAAGCAACATCATTCAAAGTGTTTAAAAAACGGTGAAAAGCTTGTCGAATCAAATTAAATTGCATCTCAAAGAATGACAGTCCATAGAAAAATAGTTTCTTACAGTTACAAGTAGACCATGAACCCTTCCTATCTACAATATTGTGGAGAAAAATCTACCATGTCAAAACATTTTATGAAATTAAAACACCTATACTTCAGTGAACGAACAAACAAACCAAAAATGCATCCAAGAAACGCTGATCAGCAAAAATTCCCTCCTGCCTCCTAAAAAGTGGGCAACTTCCAAAACCACACAATTGATTAATACTTAACTCCCTCAGCTCAAGTGGAAGTCCATTCCATTGTCTATAAATTCATACATCTATAAATTCCTAAATATATTCCACAAATTTAGGTACCCAAGTTCTGGTCTGTAGAATAGCAACCAGTAGGTTCAAACATTTTAAAATGAAATTCTACTCCAAATGTTCCCACTTGTCACTCTGTACTTCGGTTTATCCAAATTAGGTGGCTACACCTGGATGCTATACTCCATATATGATCTAAATAGAACTTTATAATGAAACTGCAAATACCCTTGATTCGACATTATATCTCTTGATGAATAGCAATATCGTATTGGCCTTTTTAGTCTCATACACACACCCATCCACCCACTTCTATGCTGGTCAAGGAAGAGATTTGAGGATTTAAACCGCTTCCAGTTTCTAACCCACTTGGCTCCATACACATTGATCAAAAAAACAAGTAGGTTATAAACCATTATAATCAGAATTTGAACAGTAAAACATTCTACGCAGTCACAAACAAGCAATATTTCCTAATTTAATATAACATCATGATCAGAAAATCCGACGTTTAGTTCCCAAAGCAAGCTTAACTGCCATGTTACACACGTTTACAAAAGCTTTTAAGAACAGATGAATTTTCTGAATGTGTAAGCTCACAGCTATAGTGCCACATTATATTAGTGTGATTTTTCTGCATCTTGAGTTCCTTGTTACATGTGCATTTTTAATTTGTAATCACTTGAAATCAATGAAATTTAATTTCATTTTCTGGCTTTCTAAATATATGACCACATGTTTAAAATAGGCAGCCACAGTATGTACAATGTGCACATTCAAAATAGCCAAAGAAGTGACATATCACTGTTAATTGTCTATAATTGCTATTCATTTCAGTGTTCTTTTCCAAACTTGACAAAATGCATTCAAACCCAACTACCAGGTATATGCCAATTTTGAATGCAAGATTAAGAAATCAGTTATTAATGCTCTAAATAAGTACCCAAAAGAAGGTTCTTATACCTGAAAAAACATCCTTGTCAAACTCTGGCAACACAAAACACCAAATGAAATTTTAAGAAACTTTTGACTAAATTTGGGTCAATGATAAGCCCAAGTCAAGCATCCCAAAAGGGGATGGGATTGCTTTAAATAGTCAGAAGGACAAGTAGTGCATCATTACAGTTTTATGGGGATTAGTTTAACCCACTATACTGAAATAAGAATGATTCCACTCTGAAGGAACACTTCACCCTTGACTACATGCAGAAATTGCACTGGTTTAATTTAAGGTGTGATTTTTAGAACTATTTAAACGCTGAAAGGCTGAGAACATTTATTTTGGTTTAAGACAGGCTTGTTGCACTTTAGATTAAGTCTTTTCCTAACTGAAAGTGAGGGGAGAGTTTATTTCTTAGACACAAAGAAAATTTACTTCATTCCAATCTGTTACACTTATGATACTCCACTGAAAGCAGTGCCCTTTTTTTGTGGTGATGTACAAAAATACAAAGAACCCAGTTTGACCCTCTGAATCCTGGTAGAGGGTGCAGGATTGGCAATTCAATATATTTCACATGAAGATCTCTGACACACAATACAGAAAGTCTCAGTCATTTTTACAGTTTTCTAAGTGGAACTTTACGAAGCTTTATGACAGAAGTTTGACTGAATAACATCCTTTAGATCGTGAGTAACCAACATGTATTTGAACCAACATGTTCAGAAAGAAAAAGAAGTATTTCCTAACCACATTTCTGAGATACTTTTTTTGAAAAATTTTAATAGGTTCTGAATTTCCTATAAGAGCTGTGTAAGCAGAATCACACAGAGCTCATGTTCAACTGCTTATCCACCACCACCACCACATTAAGAAACCTGCTGGGAGAAGGGGGAGCACTTTACTGCTAGCTTCTCTCTTGCAAGTTTAAAGTTTTTAAATTTAGAAATAGTAGCGTAAAGAATTTTACCAGCATCTAAAAACCTAGGTTTTTTGATAATCATTAAAAAACAAACAAAACAAAACCTATAATCAGAAGAGAGGACAACGTTGTAAAGAGGAAGATCATTAAAGATGCTATCTTGCATCCACAAGATTAAGGCAACAGAGGGTCCTGTGGCACCTTTAAGACTAACAGAAGTATTGGGAGCATAAGCTTTCGTGGGTAAGAACCTCACTTCTTCAGATGCAAGTAATGGAAATCTGCAGAGGCAGGTATAAATCAGTATGGAGATACCGAGGTTAGTTCAATCAGGGAGGGTGAGGTGCTCTGCTAGCAGTTGAGGTGTGAACACCAAGGGAGGAGAAACTGCTTCTGTAGTTGGATAGCCATTCACAGTCTTTATTTAATCCTGATCTGATGGTGTCAAATTTGAAAATGAACTGGAGCTCAGCAGTTTCTCTTTGGAGTCTGGTCCTGAAGTTTAAGATTACGGCAGTGGTTTGCAAAGCATAATATTTCAGTATCTCTGCCTCAGATTAAACAAACTCAAAAATTGGGGCTAAAATTGCTAGTCAATAATCCGAGTAAGAGTAACCTAGAAGCAAGAGAAAGCAGTGTGACAATGGCAATTTCCTACAGATCCTTGGGAGACCTTATTGAATTAAGTTCAAGTATATTTGGGGTCCATTGTTTTAAATGAAAGGTTTATGTAGGATTGTATTCTACTTCCAGGGGGAGGGCTACCACAGCTCCTCCAGGAACTAAAAACAGTGGGTGCTGATTAAGGCAAACCAGTCAGGTTATAGCCCCGCCTCAGAGAGGTATCACCTCCTGGGGCAGCTCACATATATTAGGTCAAAGTGGATTCTCCACTAACCAACAGACAAAGACAAGACCTTTGGATAAAATAGCTTGATTTTAAACTAACCCAGGGCCTTCTTTCTGATCCAGCAAACAGATAGGACCTGCTGTCCAAGAAGGAGTCACAATCCTTGTGAAAAAGGGTTGGAAGGACTGACACCTACCAGACTCTTGTGCTTGAGTTGGGGGTAAGCTTTTTAGCATGTGTGTAGCTTCTTTTCTTGTATTTAGTATATTTTCTCTCTTATGCTTTCACCTTAAGAATAAATGTGCTTGCTTCAGAGATTCCAAGGCCAGAAGGAAACACTGTGATCATCTAGTCTGTCCTCCTGTATAGTACAGGCCATAGGACTACCCCAGAATAATTCCTAGAGTGTATCTTCTAGAAAAGCATCCAATCTTCATTTAAAAATTACCAGTGATGGAGAAGCCACCATGACACTTGATAAACTGTTCCAGCAGTTAAATACTCTCACCGTTAAAAATGTATGCCTGCTTCTAGTCTGAATTTGTCTAGCTTCAACTTCCAGCAATTGGATTCCGTTATATCTTTCTCTGCTAGACTGAAGAGCCCATAATTAAATATTTGTTTTCCATGTAGATATAGACTGTAAATCAAGTCATCCCTTAACCTTCTCTTTGTTAAATTAAAGAGATTGAGCTCTTTCAGTCTATCATTATAAGGCATGTTTTCTAATCCTTTACTCATTATTGTGACTCTTCTCTGAACTCCCTCCAATTTCTCAACATCCTTCTTCAATTGTGAGCACCAGAACTGGACACAGTACTAAACCAGCAGTTGCACCAGTGCTGAAAAGAGGTAAAATAACATCTCTTCTCCTACTCAAGATTCCACTGTTTATATCATAGGATCACATTAGCTCTTTTGGTCGCAGAGTCACACTAGGAACTCATTTTCAGCCGCTTATCCACCTCCACCACCAAATCTTTTTCAGAGTCATAGAATCATAGAATATCGGGGTTGGAAGGGACCTCAGGAGGTCATCTAGTCCAACCCCCTGCTCAAAGTAGGACCAATTCCCAACTAAATCATCCCAGCAAGGACTTTGTCAAGCCGGGCCTTAAAAACCTCCAAGGAAGGAGATTCCACCACCTCCCCAGGTAACGCATTCCAGTGCTAATGAGTCACTATTTCCTAGGATGTAGTCCCCCACTTCATAAGCAGGGCCTATATTCTTTGTTCCCAGATGTATACTTTTACATTTAGCTGTATTAAAACACATATTTGCTTATGCCCAGCTTACCAAGCAATCCAGATCGCTCTGAAACAGTGACCTCTCTTCTCATTATTTACCGCTCTCCCAATTTTTGTGTAATCAGCAAATGTTATCAGTGATGATTTTGTGTTGTTTTCTTCCAGTCATTGATAAAAGTATTAAATAGCGTATGGCCAAGAACCAATCCCTGAAAAGATCCTCTGGTCAGGAGGGAAACAGAAGTGAGTCTCTGCACAAGAGAGGTGATGGCTGAGGAGCCAGGAGCCTACAGTGGATGCCCTTAATGGACCAGGGAGGAAGGAGAAGCAGGGGTAGAGGGCATACAATTGCAGTTGCCCTGAACCATGACAGGAAGGTAGAAGAAAAAAATTCACAAAGCCATTTACTGAACATATTTGGAGAACTTAACAGACTCAGACTTTAAGGCCTGAAGGGACCATCATGATCATCTACAGTGGATGTTGCTGCTCAAACAGTATGGATAAAGTAATGGAACAGTGTGACTTAAAAAAACCCCTGAAGTTCTGAAATTTCACTCAAGCACCCAAAGCCAGCCAACACCACCATTTATTTACAATCAATAGAATAAGGGCCACATTTTCAGCTGGTGTAAATCAGCATAGCCCCACTGACTTAAACAATTAGTTATTAAATCATACAACAAGCCATATGCCACACAATTTCTGAAGGATTTTCAATTAGCAAATTTTCTACAGATTGCATTCTGTGAAAACAGTGCTATTGACTACGCTACAAACAGTAAAAGAACAGCATCCAAAAATAAAACCTGCTGATCAATAAGTAGGTCAACTACCAACAACCATCATTCTCTTCCCTCTTCCTCTTACCTTAGATGTGTCACAATTTCAGTTCCCCTCTTCCAAAGTATATTTAAGATATTGCCAACCTTATTTTAAATCTGCTGAAGAGAATAATCTAGGTACTATCTGAATGCACCAATCATTTCTGCATTAAGTATTCTTGCCAATACTGTTCCAGAATAAGCTGATTTCACCAAAAACAATTACCTCCAGATTGTTTACATCTGGGCTGAATCATAAAAGCAACAGAAGGTACAACATCAGTGAGCTTGGTAATTAGGTTTGCAAGACTCAGGGATTGTCTACATGAACATTGTGGCAAGCTGGGATGTGAATCTACCCCATGCTAGTTTGCTGCAGACTAACTGTCCATGTGGACCTTGCTGACATGCATTAACAGTTAATTAATGAGCTTGGATCTAGTCCTCTTCAAAATGGGACTCTATCAAAGCGTATTCATGAACTGTAAATGCACATCAGCAGGGTTCACGCGGCCAGCTAATCTGCAGCCAGCTAGTGTGGTGTAGAGTCACACCCCGGTTTGATCTACCCTGGCTTGCTATAAATTAAATATTTGTGCAGACAAGCCCTTACAGTAGTTAACACTGATCTCTGACTTCAGATAAGTCTATTCTGCCATAGGCACCAACTCCGTGGGTGCTCCAGCCCCGGAGCACCCACGGGGAAAAATTAGGCAGTCAAGCTCCCCTCCCCACCTCACCTCACCTCCTCCCCTGAGCACACCGTGTCCCCGCTTCTCCCCCTAGCTCCCAGCGCTTGCCACTGCAAAACAGCAGGGCAGGAGGGGGCGGGGCGGAGGTGGGGCGAGCACCCACCGGCAACAACAGAAGTTGATGCCTATGTACTCTACAATCTACTTTGGAAAGGTCTCACGACCACTCAAGAAGTACCACATATATTTGTGCTTTACTGTTCTACAGCATGAAATGTAGATGTGCAAGGTATGTCAGAATACATAAAAAAAGGTACCAACCCAGAACAGTTTAAAATCTAAATTTAGTTATAAGGCAATTAGGGAAGATGAAAGAGCACAGGAATAGGACAAGGAGAGAAGAGGTTAACAGCAACACAATCACATCATTTTCTTTTATGTTGGGTCACAGAAGAGACTTTTGAGAAGAAATTTTAATGAGAAGTGGGTAGTAGATTGGCAGACCAAACATAGGAAGAGCATTCTAGAAGACTGAATCATAAAAAAAGACATGGAGTGAGACAAAAGAGCAGGGCATTAAGACCATCACTGATAGAGCAGCAGTGTTGCAATGTTTATACATGAATGTTAGGGAATTGTATAGATTAAAGGATTACTGCAATTACAACTACCAATCCTGGTACATATCTGCCTTCTTGTAAAGCACTTTCAGATCTACTGCTAAAAAGCACTACATAGGAGTGAGGTGTTGTTATTCTTAATCAGTAATGAACTACCAGAGCACTCACAAAAAGATTACTGAATTCATCCTCAATGTACTTGTAATGCAGGGAAGTACGCTGTTTTATAGATGCTGGCTGAGCCATAGAGAAATTAAGTGACTTGTCCAAGGTCACATTGGAAATGGATGGCAGAGCAGAAAACTGAATCCAGAACTGCGTTCCAGGCCAATGTCTTATCCTCAAGACCATTCTTCTCATACTGTCCATCCCCCTGCTAGTGCAGAATAGTTCCCAACAGTGTATTTTCTAATGCTTTATTCTGACTAGTTGTAAAACAGTTCAGGCAATAAATGAGGTTTTTGTGTGTGCCAGATTTTCTATGACAAAGGCCAGTTTCAAAAATCTAAAGTGGGGACACAGAAACCGTGTTCAACAGAAACTTAACTGAATGTCAAATTTACACATATGTAGTCGTTAATGAACAACATTGTAGATTTCCCCCCAGCAGACTGATAAATATAGCATAAATATAGCATGGTGGGATGTGAACATGACTTCTTTCTTCACCAAGAAGTCAGTTACAGCCTAGTGCACCAGGCCAGAATGGAGACAACATTTAATTTAAATCAAATCTATTGTAGCAGGTAGTAAAAAAAAAAAAACCTACATTGTTCAAAAGGAATACTTTGACAAATTTGTCTCCTGTATGCATAGTAAAAAACAGCAGCTGTAGAAATATTGTTTGTGCCTCTAAATGGCTGTGGCTGGTGTACTGCATGGCTATATTAGCTCCATGCA